CAACCAACGAGAACATCTCGAAAATGTGATTATTTATCATGAAAATATCAATTGTCATTCTTAAAAGCACTCAGTAATAAAGTCAAAATCTTCGCAGACTTATTTTTGATATTATGTAGAAGAACTAATAACGTCAGACTTTAAATAATGTTATAATTTGTGTAAATGTCAAAAAATTATCAAAATTTTGATTATTTCTCAACATATCAGAAATTTTGCATTAATTTTGTAAATAGCATTTTCAGAAACATTCAGTAATATGCGGTTATAATAAGATAATAATTTTTATTAAATATCACTTACATAATAGAATATTAATATGAATTGCCATTAATATTTGATTGACTTTTTAAAAGATTAAATGCAAAAATTTTTATAATAATTAGGAGTCATAGCATGTTTACATACAGTAATCTTAAAAGTTAAATGTACTTATTTGTTTATTTATACGTCAATTTATTACTTTGTACATCAAAATAATGGTAAAAAAAATATAATGGTAAAAAATATTGCTTTGAGTAGGTTATTACCTATAACTTTCTCATAACAATTCAACCATTCAAATATAATAGCACAATGCCTCAACTTTGAAAGCAAAAACTATCAAAATTTTCTTTCTTAAAATGCTTTTTAGTTGTTTATTCAACAGAGCTTTTCGAAAATCTTTTTTTTATTGAACTTTTTAAGGTTTCTGAATTATTTTGAAAGATTTTTCCAAGATTATTGCATCAAAATTTATTGCTGTCTTTCTGAAAGTATTTGTCTGCCTATGCTCAGAGGCTTCTGCTAAGTTATAAATAGAACAAACAAATTGTATTGAATGATTTTAACAGAACTGATTAACCTGAATTCAGAAAATTATAAAAAGTTATGAAAAATGTTGAGATTTAGCGCGCATTTTATGAAGGCAAAAGTAGCAAATATTAATAAATTTGCTAGAATTGTTTGAGTAGTACACTTCACAAATTATAAATTATTAATATATAAAAATTATTCAAATTAATAACTTTCAAATGTAAGAAAAAGTATTTGCAATAATACATTTTTTTAAATCATCAAATGACATAATAGCATAATCAAAAATTCTAATACATATTAAGTATCAGTAATTATTTTTATTATTTTTTGAACATAACTAATCACATCGAAATAATAATTTAATTAAAAAACACTTTTGAAAATATATTCTCTGACATTTTTTTGCTCGTACAAATTTCATAAATGTTACTGAAGAAAGGAAAAATAGAAATTTAGGGTGGATTTCTCGTGGAATCAGTACAAAACTTGAGCAATTTTTGGATGAAATTTGAAACTTTCAGCATATCTTTCATTCGTTTATGTAAACAAATTTTGATAAAATGTAATCAAAATTTTAATATAATTGTGTGATTTTAAATTACTATTATTTATATAAAAATTATATTTTGCTAATGAATTTTTATTTTGTCAATTATTCATTTAAACACACTACACATCGAGATAAAATATGCTTTAAAAAATTTAATTTGTGATCAGCTTTTTAATTTTTGGTTTTAAATTGAATTATTTCAATCGAAAAACAAAATCTGTACAAGCAAAAAAATGCATGAGAACATATTTTCAAAGCGTTTTTTTAATTCATATATTATTTGGATGTGATTAGTTATGTTGAAAAAATAAAAATAATAGAAGCTGTAAAGCAATTTTTTAGTATACAACCTATTTACATAGAAGCTAGAAAATTTCAGTTTTTAAATATTTGATATATTTTCAATTTTTAGTTCACATTTAATAATTAGCAAAAAATAATATATGTAAAGCCAAAATCAACAGTTACCTTCAGTAATTCGTGTATTGTAGTATTGTGTTACTTTTATTTTTTCAGTAATACTAACTGTGAATTGAGAAAATAATTTCACCTGTGACAAACTTCAGAAGATCTATGTTTTATTCTATATTCATGCGAAAACGATTAGTAATTTGAACATTTTATTTTTTTGAAAAAATTACGCTGAAAATTTAATGATAGCAATATTTTCACAAGTGCTCAAATTGAAAAAAATGTACATATATATGTATATAATGCAATTAAAAAGCATATATTTATTAAATTAGACAAATTTCTTTTCTGCAAATGAAATTCGTTGAATGACAAATAATTAATTACTAATAAGTAGTGCTCAAAAATGAATTGGATTAATCCCATGTGATATTAGGTTAGGAAGTATCATTTGTAATATTGCGCCGTATTAAGGAAAATTTTTAACATTATAATTAAATATTTATTAAAGAACTTACAATGAACTGGTTAATTTTTTATGTTACACGAACCAAATTTGCGTTTTACTCTTTAAAACATGTATAAATTTTTAATTTTTGCCATTTTTTTTGTTTTTCTCAGTACTCTGAAAGGTTGTGTTGCAAATCGAAAAGTTTAATTTTAAATAGTATAATATTTTAAAAAAGTATTAAGCTGCGTTATAAAGAAAAATAAATGAGTGTTAACGGTAGAAAAGTAGAAATAAAAATTATAAATAACATCAAACTGTTTATGAGCAATTAGTAAAATAACACTAGTTGTTTGATGAATAACACATTTGAAAATAATAAACAAATTATCAAATTTTGTTTACACTAATTTTAATTTCATTGCAAATGCAATTTTAAAATAATTTTATGCTAGCGCTCAAATTAGATACGAAAAACCATTTTATATTACAATTTATGTCAAAAATAGCTGACAAAGTTCAAAGTAATTAATTAGAATTTATGAAAAATTAAATACTTAAAATCAGTAACAATAATTGATAACAATAAAAATTATCAAAATGGTCGAGATAAAAATTTTTTAAATTTGCCTGAACTTCAGACCAGATTCTTCAGTACTATAACAACTTTGACAGTGAAGTTTAGAGTCTCGTACTCGGACATCAGTGCCCCGGGTCCCGTTCCCTAGCGCCATCTTACAGACGTAACATCGAAAGCAGCTTAAGTGATAAAACAAATTAAGCGATTCAATAATCATTGCTGCGCCACGCCCTATAAAAATTATTATATTTCCGATTAAATTATTTGCTGCATTGATATTAATAACAATGCACATTGCCATTAGCTATTATTTCTACTCAAAGTTTTGATGCTAAAGTTATATAAGTTAATTTATTTTATTTGGTACAAAAAATTTATTGATAGAAATTGTTTCCACAAATCAAAATATTTGCTATTTTGCAACTAATATAAAAAGTTGCCACCAGACAAATCAAAAATTGGCAAATATTACGAACAAATCAAATAATTTAAATTCATTTTACTGAAATAATGATAATAATTTGCATTTTTCTTCAGTCCTTTTTTTAACTAATAACTTTCAGCATCAAAGCAATACAAGTATCATTCTGCTCTAAATTTGAATAGTATAAAAGAATAATGTGGGAAAATAAATTTGATATTATATATATATATATATATATATAAACATATGATGAATTGAATTGACCTATTCAAAGTGCTAAAGGCATTAAAATGAAGTCATAAAAAGTTACTATTAAGAACAAGACTAAGTTGGTGCAGTATTGCAAATTATGCTAAAATTGCAAAAAAAATTATTAAATATTTTAAATTTAAAAAAGTGGAAAAGATTTGAAGTGAAAATTTAGAGAATGTAAATAACCGAGTGTTAAAAAGATTATAGATGAGCTCACCAAGCTCCATTCCACAATGTGAACATAAATGTTTACCACTCACAGATAACAACGGTTCTTGAGTTGTTGACGAGGATTTAAGGTTGGAATTGTTTTTGATTTGTTCATCCAACTTCAAATCAACAATTAACTATTTAATAGCTAAACTTTGTAAGACAAGCAAAGAACAGTTTTGATATTTTAACTACTTCAAATGCTTTATAGTTATATTTGATGCTTAAAAAGAGATAGATGAAAATTTAATTGTCAAAAATAGAACAGATACATTGAGTGTATTTATGAGATATTAAATTGATATTGTAATAAAACGCAAAGTTATAATCAGTTTTTATTTATTAGAAATATTAAATCAGTTAGTTTCGATAAATGCTACTAATATTTACTTCTTTAGTTTGAGTTGGATTCATTGCAATAGATTGAGTGCTAGTAGAAAATATTTTATGCGCTGAAAGCTGATCAGCAAGTGGTAATTCTTTATTAAATGAATCGAATTTTTTTACCACTGATGGTACCTTTGATGCAACCAAATCTTTGATCATTTTTTTGTTATCACATAATGGACTAAAATAAAAAACTATCGACAACAATCAGCTGTTAAATCTTTTTTACTTTTCATTCCTTCTTTTATGTTAATTTATATTAAAATAATTTAATTCAGTACTTGGAAGCTTACTTATCGGTAATGCAATGACTAAAAATTAAATAATATTAAACAGTTTTACTGAAATAAAGCTTAAAATACAATACAAAATTAGTAGTTGTTAAAGTGCGAACTGTATTCACTATTAACTTTGTAAAACACAATAATAATCAATTAAAATACATATTCCACTAAAAAATAGTTGTAAACTAGCCTATAATTATGAAAAGTTTCTTCATTTGGATGAAATTGAATAACAGAGTTGCTCTCATAGTGATTACACGATTTAAGATCAGTAGAATTTGAAAGACTTTGTTGATCGGTGATTTTATGGCATTTTTGTTGTTCCTAAACATTTAAGCATATATATAATAATGAAAAATTCGTCCTTCTTATGAGAAGTAATAATTTGTAATTAAACTCGGATTTTCGTATTATTTCAAATTTTCAAATAAAAGTTAGTATTCTTGCTTACTGTTGAAACAGAATTCGTTTGTTCAGCACAACTGCCATTTTGATCAAGTGACGAGATATCCTTCTAAAACAATTTTCACGCCTATTTACTTTTAAAAACTCAAAACTGTTCACATAAAAACTCTCATTTCACGTATAAACTTAAAATATTTTTTTATTTTAAATTGTGTGTAATGTAAATTATTTACGTCTTGAATTAGAATGACCTGATTCACTGCTTTATTAAGAGTTGTACAGTTGCGTGGAATCACATAACCATTACGACGATAACCAGCACCAATATTTCGTGGTAGCGATGATGCCTTAGCTTCATCTTTTTTTAGCCAATAACTAATCTGCAAATTTTTTTGTTGCCTTAATTTACATGAAATTAAAACAGTGATACTTTTATTTAAAAATGCGTATACATAAAAATATCTGAATAATAATCCTTTCATTCAATTTCTGAAGAATATTTTTCTGATAAAAGCAAAATATAAACTCACATGTAAGGGAAAAATATAAAATCAAATATATTTTTCTAAGATTATAAGCGATTTTTCGTTTCTCAATTTTTGATTATAAAATATGCAAAAAATATATATCTTTTTGTTGCAAAAAATAAACAAATTAATTAGCAATAATCAAAAGTGGTACTTTATTTTGTATCGGTGACACATTAACACTTCTCACTGGAGTAACATCGTAATTGCGAAGTACTAGTGGTGCTTCACTTTCATCTTTATTAGTGTGCATTATACAGCCATTTAAATCGTTTCCTTAAATTCATTTGATCTTTCTGACCTTTGACATATTAAAAATTTGAAATATAAATTCTAACTCTAAAAAGATTATTTAATAGAATGAATAAAAAATAAAGTATTTTAATTTGCAAAAATATTTCACTAATATATATAAAGTATTTTTATTTTGCAAATAACAAATATTAAAAAAAATAGCTAAAACAAAACAAAACTGGAAATATTAATTACAAAGATAAGGCAAATTAAATAAATATAAAGATTAATATGCAAATTAAGCATAAATATCGAATGATAGAAGATAGCAAAAATAAATTCAAAAATAGAATAACTATTAATTATAGGAAAATAAGTAAATAGTATTAGATGATAATAGAAAATTTTAGTGGATGGATTGACATATGCAAACCTCGTCGGGAAAAGCTATAGCTGTAAGCTGAAGCACCATCATCTTGATCCTTGCTACCAGCAGTTGATTTTCTTTCCACTTCCGGAATAAAATCTGACAACTTACCAGGTTTTGGTTTATCATGTAATGATATAACTCGATAATCAGGATCACATCCTCCACTCGTTATTGAGCATGATGTAGTACTTGATAATGACGTGAAACTTGAAAAACGTTCACGTACATAACGATTAGATGATTTTCCATTGTTTATAAACATCATACGTTGTTCATTAATATCATTTTCACCATCATCATTATTATCATCGTCTCCATTCTCATTATCATCGTTATTATTAATATAATTATCGCCATCATTTTCTTCGTAATCGGTATTATCATCATTATTGAATATAGCAGAAAATGATGACGATGTTGAACTACTACATAAAGTAGTTTTAGCTGCAGCAGGAAGAGCAGGAGCAGGAGTAGCAGTAAGTGAAGCAGCTAAAAATGATACTTACAAGAGAATAATTTTATTCAAAAAATGACGCAGAATTACTGTAAAGGAAGCATTAAGAAAGATTTTAATATGAAAAAATTAATCCTTTCATTTGTTCATGTCAGTTTTATTCACTAGCAATTAGCATTAAGCAAGAATGACGCAAGATTGATAACTATCCACGATTGTAAATCGCTTTTACGCTTATACGTGCAAATAAAAGTAAAGTTTACACGCATGTCTGGATTATCTCTTGCATAAATATCCATCAAAATTTTGCACTGTAGCAAAGCAATAAGAAATGGCGAATTCATAAAAGCATTTGTATTAGTAATTAGGCTTAAATTGGATACAATTAGTTTAAAAATGTTGCAATAGAAGCTTGAAGCAGTTATTAAAGGTCATAGGTTGGTTATGCATGTATCAATGACAGGATTAATCTATGCCTGTATTCGAAACTTTATTTTTGGTTTAATAAGTGCAAGAAAAAGAGAGAAGAAAATCAAAAAAAACAAGTTTTTTTATGCATTCAATATGAACCAAATAATAAGACTTTTTCTATATCATACTTTATTTTGATTACTGTAACTGAATTAATGATTGTTTTTAATTTTTAAAATATATTAATTAGATTATAAAATTTAAGGTACATAAGTTGAACTGAAATTCATGCATTGTGTTGGTGACGGAATCAGTCTATTCTAAAATTTGTAAAGTATTAAAGTGGAAAAGTTATTAACAATTTAGAGTTCTTACCATTTTCATGATACGTTTTGTTTTTATCTGTATTCCATTTAGATGCTGAAGAAAGATAATTTTGCTTTCGTAGGCCTTTGCAAATATCATTATTACTATCTTTACTCGTATATTTTTTATCAAACATTGCTCGTTTTTGATCAAACGATATGGTAGATTGTTGATCTATGCTTGTTGCAGAAGGTTCACTTATTTTCCGTGGGCCTAATTCAAAAAAATTTAAGAACTTGTGCTCGAATCAATTATAAAACTGCAAATATGTGCCGCATCAATCTTGCTTGACTTGTATACATTTTAACAATTTTACTAATTAAGAGCGTTATTAGATAACGCTTTTAATCAAATTAATCAGATGGATTCATAATAAAAAGTAATCTTGATTATGAAGAAATGCTAGTAGAAAAAATTCATTAATTGCAATCGATTTGGTATTTTAAAACAGTATTATCTGAAATTACTTTCCTGCACTTGGATCTAAATCTGATTTTTTATGCTAAATTAGAATTGTAAATGATAACAATGAGGAACGAACCCGCCACAGCATTCTTAGACCTTTGAATCCTTAATTGCACGCTGCCGGTACGTTCTGCTTCGTGCAACATTCTTACCACGCACGGATAATGCCTTTCCTTCACAAATTCACCATTTATGCTCATAAGTAAATCGCCAACCTAGAAATAAATTCAAGTGATGTAGTCAAAGTTTTTCAAAAATATCTCAAAGCAAATGTCGTATAGCAATTCAGAAAATGAAAACTTCTAAAAGAAGCAAATAAATATTACTTTGATATCTTTAGAGGTTTTCGAGGAATTCAGAAATTATTGAAAGTAATCTTTTATTGCTTTTAAAAAATTACACAAAATTAAAACGCTTTACATGGAGGATAATCTCAGTTTTCAATAAATAAGTCTTAAGTGGTTGACGATTATTTGAAGATCAGTCTATACATGAGACTAATTTATTAAATAATTTTTCAGTTAGAAAGCGCACCAATCAATCGTCAAATCAACAAATTAATTCAAATAAAATTCTTAAAAGTAATACTAATTAAAACCTGAAGTCCAGCTTCATCAGCTGGCGTGCCCACAATCACAGCATCAATTTTCAGTGGTGCATTCTTATCTTTCCCGCCGGTAACTGTGAAACCAAAATATTTTCTGTCATCATTACCATAATTGTTTCGATTTGAACTTATACTTACATCAAGCAAACCATCGATAGTATTTTGTCGTTCCTAAACATTTTTCAATATAGAAACCGTATTATCATCTTTTTTCAGAAATATCACTCAAAATGAGCTCATTGCATTCTACATTTGTAAAAATTTTCATAATCCTTTAAAATTTAAATTAATTTTGCAAATTTTCAACATTTAAAATTAAAAAAATTGACAACATTTTTTGCTTACAAATATTTCTTTAACTTTTAGACTTCAAATGCACAATTTACATTGAATTCAAGTTTAACAGCAAATCAAATTCTCAATAACCGTAATTTTAGTGCTAAGAAACAGAAAATGTATTAAAATGTCAAAAACTAAAAGTATTTTTCCGAGCACAAAGTTCTACCAACCGTGTCTGAATTATTCTTCTCAGGAATGTCAGGCTGGTAAGCTGCACTTGGCTTATCTTCGAATTGAATATCAACTGTTTTCAGCTGGGATTTTGGGACTGATATCTGAAAGCAATAAGCATTTTATTTTCATTGAAGCAAAATAAGCTAGTTTAAGTAGAAATCAAAACTGAATCGTTCAGTTTTTGAAGTGAATGTTGCAATAAATGCTGTCACTATGGATATAGTAAGTAATAATCAGGAACTTTTTATGCAGTATAAATAGTGGATATCCGAAAAAGTACAGCGTAAATTTTATTGAGCAAATGTTGAAAAATTGAAATTCTACATATTGATAATAGACTAGTACATGAGTCAAATCAATATCACACGAAGGTTATTCTTCTTTTCTTCATTATTGATTCTGGCGCTGGATCGTATTCTGGCACTCTCGTAGCACTCGCCCCGCACTCAGTTCTGCTATGCTGATCTCCGCTGCTTCGTTCTCGTCGAATCCACGCGCTGATCTAATGAGGTGCTTACGAGCTTTCTTGAGTGCTATCCATACCTCAACGTGACCAGATATACTGATTTCCTGCGCGTAACGTTTGTGGAAGTTCGTCACTATCCGATCCCAAGTTATCACATACGGAATTATTTTTATCCTTTATTTAATTTCTGCCCCGAATTTATTAGCAAGTAAACCATACTTACGCTTTTTCTCGATCTCAACTGCTGTCAACCTGTCCCGACCAGTGATGCCAACCTCTATCGGGATTACTTCACATCGCTTTTTATCGTATAGGGATGTCAGGTAGATCCGCTCTTATTCTAATTGCAGTTCTTTCTCACAAGTCGATTCTGATTTCAACGTTCTCGCTAGCGACGATTTCCTGTATGGAGTGGCTCTGCATGCGTGGAAATGCATTTAGACTACACTTTTTACAAAGTCCTAAATGAATGCATCGCAGGACTTCATTGTGTCTTCTAGTATAGTCATGATATAACATTTTATTGCAGCGTGTTGTTAGATGGTCCACCGTCTTCACACGTTCTCTACAACGTGGGCACGTACTTCTTTAAGCTCCCAACATATTTTTGTCTTGGAGGTGACTATATCGCGTTTCATCCTGATAGCTAATATTTCCGAACCGTAACCTCATTGATGAATCTGACATTAAGGCGAGCTCATTACTACAAATCTTGTATAGCTTTCTATACGAATTTTCTTTTCTATTTTTCTATACAGAAGTTCTTTCTGAGCTGCTAATACGGTTAGAATTTTCTACGAGGTTGTATTTAGTCTGAAGGTAGGACAGAATAACTGCTAAGTACGTATTGTGAGTCTTTTCCCGCTTTGAAATTGCTGCGCTCCTGGTATATATGGGCGCACTTTCTACAAGTACGTTATGAAGTTGTAGAAGCATAAGCTCAATTTTTTGTTCAAGGCAATGAAGCCCACGTCCTAGCTCATTTTTTGGCAGGTACAGTTTTTCCAAACATGCAAGTTGGATGTGGATTCCGTATTTAGTTAGTAACTGTCTGATACCATGGTCGATCGCTCAGGTCTTCTGAATCAAGTTTGAGCATTCCAGTATAATAATTTATTAATCCTATGGCGCGCTCATTTACTGCCTTGATAAAGTTCTTGCCTTCAGTACAGATTTGGGTAGTCGATCAATTCTCACCAAAATCTCTACTCTTACTTGTATTATATATATATAGTTTTAAAAAAAAGTATTATTTGTATCATATATATATATATATAGTTAAAAGTATTATTTTGAAAAAAACTGGCAGGAAGTAAAGAGTTTAATTCATAATCCAGCTATAATTTAAATTAATGCCAATAAATTTTATTTGCCGTAGTCACCTCGTGAATTTCATTATTCAATCGATTATTCGTACGTGAAACTTTGGGTGATGTTCGAGGAAGGATACCATCAACGACATTTCCAAAATGTGCACGAGTTTGAAGTGAAGATAACGAAGTCAAATTGTAAGGAAGAAATGACGATGAAGTCTGCAAAATTATACCTTATACAGAAAATGCTTTCAATTCTTCGCAAAAGGATAAAAGTTATTCGAGATTGATATTATTCCTTTTTGTAAACAAACAGTACATGAGATATGCAAATTGAATACAAATGAAAAAAAAGAAAAAATTTTGTGTGAGGCAAAGTTTACTTGTTTTTCTCCGGCAGTTACTCCCATTTCATTTTGAGTCTCATTACTACTCTTGTCTATTATTGCTTGATAAGTCAAGCAAGCTGTGTTATTCTGTCGTGACGCTGTAAACTTTTAAATTAAACGTAATGGTAATCACAAACGTAAGCAAAATAAAATTTTACATATCTCAAAAATAAGACGTCTATACGTCAATCATTTTGAATTACTTAGGAAGTAAACTTTCATCATTTAAGCAATTCATTTAAAAACCAGAAATTTCCTTGCGTCACAATTTTCAGAATTTATGCAAAAAAATTGTTCAAAATTCGCTTTTTGCATAATTTTTGCAGTATAAAGTTGAACACATATAAAAATTTGGCTAAGTTTCATTGCTTTTGAATGTAACAAAAAATTTCTTTGTGATACTGAGATTATTATCTAAATATTGCAGAAATAAAATTAAACGTCCTTACCAGCGTCTGTTGACGCATTGCACTTTGTTGTCAACATGGACGTAAGTTCACGTTTTGTCGCTGTTAAAGAACCAGTTGATGAAGTACTTTTCTTAAACAATTTCTGTACAATAATTTCATTTTCATTAGCTACCTATTAATGTGTTGAGTTTTTATCAGCTTTATATAAATTTTCATTTTATATCAATTTTAATTTCCAAGCATAGTGTTACATACCATGCTGTTATCGTATCCTGTAGTAAACTCATAACTCTCGTCGATGCTTTTCGTAGATTGTCGTCTGTGTGACGAGACTGACAACAAATTATCAGGTGGAGCAGGAAAATCACTGTCAGAATCGTCACTTTCGCAAGAATACTGCTTACGTCCTTGCGGTGTTACACTTCGAGAATGAATCTAAAAGTGATAAATTTTCTATTACATCAATTTTAAAATTACGTCCTTAAGTACGTCAGACACTTTCATTCAATAAGGCTATTTTTTCATAGACTCATGAATAATTTGAATATTTAATTAATTTTGTGATAAGTACTCAATAGATAATTCCAAATTATGCGTGATTAAAAATCATTAGATCACAGTCTTTTGACTGTGATTTAATAATTTATAAATTCCATTAATTTTGGTATCAGGTGACGATTAGAAAAGTCAAAATTAAGTGAATATAAGGTAGTCTAATACTTTTTGAATATTCGATATATACTTTAAAAAATATGAAAAATGTTTTATTTATCAATAAAAAAAGTTATACTTTAAGATTATTTAATAAATTAATTTAGAGAAATTTTCAAATTGAAATTGATTAAAAGAAGCTCAGAAAATATAAAAGTAAATAAGTAAATATCTGTAAGTAAATATCATATAATAAGTAAATATCTTTATTAAATAAATTTACTATTAATTACATACAGACTTGACGAAAGGAAAACAATATTTGATTTTCAAGGTAATTGCAGTGAGTAGTGTTTTTAGAAAATTTATGCAATAAAATTATCAAGTGAGTAATTTACTGTAATTTCTGACCTTTGAATAAAGACTATTACCTTGATGATTTGACTTTCAAGGACAAATAAATAGCTTTCATTTTTTAAAATTTGTTTGTTTTGATTCATATATTTTTTGTAAAATTCAATTTTACTTTTTATTATTATACAGTATTTTATGCTGAAAATTATTAAAAGTTTATTTCATGTAATCAAATAGAATGAATATGGTAAAGAGACTTGACCTGGTCAGGAAAATCAGCTTTGGTGATTGTTTCTTTGCGTGATAATTTGTTAGCAGAAGTAAACTGATCAGTATTTATTTTAAAAGTATTTACGTCAGGCTTATAAGTTGAACATGTAAAATTAGTATCTGCGTCAGATAAAAATGATAGCTCTAACTCTATACGATTGAAAATATTATGATTCGATGGCGTTGCAGGTGATAAATTACTGGATAAGTGCGTCGGCGTTAATTCGTCTGAAATATTTGTGTGTGAAAAAAAGATAAATACCAAAAATTATTGTAAATAATATTTAAAACTTGTTCTGTAGTAATTTCTGTATTATTCTAATTTCAAAATTGTTAATATGCAACAAATATTATCCAATTCAATTACTGAATATTTTTAATTTTAATTATAAAAAATGATAGTGATACTTGCGCATTAAAGTTGGAAATTAAAGTAATTCATTAACTGCCACTGAAAAAATATTATTTTTCAATTGCCAACAAATTTTTTTACATGCTATCAATTTGAATTTAATAAATATTTGGACAAAATTGTAGTAAAATTTGTTTTGTATATGGAATTTTCCTTTAGTATATGATTAAGCACTACATTTTGTATCCATTCCATTCTATAACCATTAGCTAATTAATCGCAGCACAGTATCTTATGTAGTGTGAAGTACAAAATTTTATTATGTAGAGAAATTGAATTAATTTGGTATAAAATAAAAAAAAACAAAATGAAAAAAATTAGGATAAGATGTAAAAAATAAGATTTGGTGTAGAATAAGTATCAATCAGTCAATGCCTTGATTAAGTTTGGATGCTAAACTTTTACTTGATGGCAGATA